TACTAGAATTTTTCTGATTATACAGAATAATGAGGAACTTGTTACTAATGATTATGAAGAACTTGTCACTGATGATAATGAAGATGAATTAATAGAAGAATTGCAAGCAGATATTGAAGCACTTTACTTTTGAAATATAATAGATCTCAATAATTATATCAACTATTCAGATGAAAATAATACAAATAAAGTATTGAATAATCAAAAAATTGTAGATCTAGTTACTAACATATTAATCTTAATAACTAACTTAACTGTTCTTAGATTAGAGTTTGGAACCGGTTTTATTTTTCATATGTAATAAAACTGATTCCAAACTCTGCTTAAGATTGTGTTATTCATGTTGTAGTAGTATCCACATGCAAGTTACGTGTTTGTATAAAAATATACGCGACATACGTATATTTTGACCATCCCATCCCATCTTACCAGAGATTTCTCAACTCATTCCATCAAATTGCTTAATTTTTAGCGTGAAGATCTACATCAAAATAAATAATTAATAAAATAAAATATAAAATCAAATAGTATAAAATAAAATAATATAATATAAAATAATATAGAAAATTACTACACCCCTGTTTCAAAAAAGTTTTTCATTTAAATTAGGGTTGGGCTAAGGTTATAATAAATAACAAACCTTATAGCAAAATTTAACAAGTAATTTTTTACTTATAACACCAAAGACGGTTTCATAAGCTAGATTCTGTGTTATCCCTTAAACTGTTTTCTAGACAAATTTGCCTGGAATTTTTAAATTATTTGATAAATATTATTGTAATACCAAATCATAATAAGTAAAAGCCCCTAACACATAATTTTCTAGGGCCAGGAGAACCTGACCAATCATTTGACAATAAAATTTTTAGACAAATTTGTCTGGAAAACAGTAGAGGGTTCATTTTTTGTAAAAAATTCTATAAATGTTTAAGATCAATGATCCCAAGTTAGTTTTTGTTACCATTACATTAATGCTAATTTAGGATTGTTGATCTTAAATATTTATATCAACTTTTTTTTAAAACTGTTTTCCAGACAAATTTGCCTGAAAATTTTATTATCAAATGATTGGTCAGGTTCTTCTCATAAATTAGCATTAATGAACATATGTATATATATATCAGATGACTATGATATTGCAAGTGTCAGGCAAGATAACTACTAAAATAAACGCAAATAACAATTTCAACCACAATTTTAAAAGTTAGAACAGCTTAGTATTACAATACAAATAGTAAAAATTTTCCAGGCAAATTTGCCTGAAAATGATTTACAGATTAAGGGATAAGTAATTTTTGTAAAAAACTTTGTTTTTGTTATACAAAGAAAATTTGCAGATTGCAATTTTGATTGGTCATATGCAGGGCTGTGAATTTCACAGCCTGTTAAGATTAGCAATACTCAAAAAAATAAAATAAAAAAATAAAATAAAAATAAAATTTATAATTGTATATATAATTTGTAAATCTGTGTGATATTCTTAATCAAAACAAACTGTAAAATGAAAAATTAAACCCTACTTATGGTTAGAGTAAGGTACATTTTTATTAAAATCCAAAAGGTGGTTTTATAAGCGAAATTTTGAGTTATACCTGATCGTGCAGTCTGATTGGCTCTCTATATTAACCATGTACAAGTAGAAATGCACAAATAAAAATAAAATAAAATAAAATTAATAAATTAATTAATTAATTAATTAATTAAACTTTTCATTTAAGAGCTAAAAGAAGGTTGGTTATCTTTATAAAATTTTTTATTTGTCCCAAATCTGTCCCGACTTTATCCCAACTATTCCGTGAATAACACTACACATGCGAGCACATACATCAATGTGCATTAACGGAGTAAAACACTATAATATACTCCGCGTATACTGATTTAATCGACATGTGAAAATATTGGCGTTGTATTCGTAATTAGTAATAGACTTCCGAATGGATATAGCCGACATACTTAAAGGTACACGTCATTCAACTCTATACTTCGTTCTTGGTGTAGATGGCCAAAAATGATTGTATAAGAAGATATGATCATATGTGTAATGTGAAATACACGCTCAAAAGGTTAGATTAACTATATCAATTAGACATGTGCATATATATACAGTTTATTTCAAAGGAAGAAATTAAGTATATAAATAAAAATGCGATTTATATCAGATAAGATAATTTCTAAGCTTTATTGTTCGAAGGACATTACGGGAGAGTCATAGTGATACCTGTTGTGTGTGTCTGCAAATTAAGGGGTTTGATTGGTTAATCTGATAAAAACAAACTATAAAAAGCAATTTTAAGTCCTTCGGACCTTGAATGGTTTTCCATTACCTAGTTTACGAGAAAACAATTAGGCGCATACATCATGTATGCATGTACGTGCGTACGTACGTACGTATTGGTATCGGCGTAGCGGCAATCTAAGCATAATAATAGATCAAATCATATGATAACATCTTTCACATTCAAAGATGACTTGGATACCTACAAATTATTGTTAAATTTAATTTCTATGTCGCAATTAATTATACTATATGTTATAATTCAATAATTTTGTTGCTAAATATTCAACTAACAATTGTTTTTTAAAAATCAATGTGTTTTGGATTAAAGTTGTGCTGTGTAGCTAGATTTAAATGCCAACCTTTTAGCGTTAGTACAAATTTAAGTTTATACAAACAAGTTATTCCCGGCAACTTTCCTATCCATTTTTGTAATTCCAGTTAGGCAATAGGAGATTGCCCACAATAATGAAGTTGTAAGATCAGCTATCATATATGCAATGTCGAGAAGACCTAAATGTAAACGCTTAAAATGAATTACGAAAAATGAGAAATTTATTTATTAAAAATGAAGTTCTTTGAATTATAAGTGTTAATTTGAAAAACCATTTTCGTAAGCATAATGAATAAATACCTAGACATTTCCGGGCTGGTATCTTTGGCATCAAATAGATTGTATTGACGTCAAAAAAAAACAATTCCCTTTGTAAACACTAATTTGGCTCGGAAATAATGCAGCAGTAGCTATAGTAAATTATATGATCAATTAAAAAAGATTTACAGAAACTAGTAAGTCATTTGGTTAAAATGGAAAAAAGAATAAAGATGTATTTATAGAAGATGCAGGTCTATGAAAATTTAATATTTATTTAGCATGATCAGAATTATGATAATTTCGTTAATTTATGTCGCGATTGAAGCTGGAAATCAGGAACCTCGATTTAAAAATATAAACCCATCAAAATTCACTTATACTCTTTTATTACTAAAATTAACATCCTAACCTAATTACAGTCAGACCTCTCTAAGTGCACGCCCTTGGGACCACTCTTTAATAATGTGCATACAGTCAGACCTCTCTAAGTGCACCCTCTACAAGTGCACACCCTCTCTAAATGCACGCTCAAGTGCCAGCCCAAATATATACATGACCTCCATAAATGCACTTTTTCTTATTATTCTCTATATGCACATTATTAAAGAGTGGTCCCAAGGGCGTGCACTTAGAGAGGTCTGACTGTATAGAGAATAATAAGAAAAAGTGCATTTATGGAGGTCATGTATATATTTGGGCTGGCACTTGAGCGTGCATTTAGAGAGGGTGTGCACTTGTAGAGGGTGCACTTAGAGAGGTCTGACTGTATTAATAAAAAAAAATTCACACCAAAAAATTCTGAAAATTTCATATCACGCGTAAATTCCAACTTCAATTGCGACAATTTATTGTCTTAACCGAATTTCTTGAGGACGAAGTTAAAAAAAAAAAAAAAAAAAAAAAAAAACGAGCCATTTATAATTCTACAAAGACATTTTATTTTGATGTTTGATAAAATTTTGAATCGGCAATTTGCTGCAATATTCATCATCTTGATAATAAATTATGATGGAGCAAGTGAAATTAGAAATGACTTAAGTAATTATGGAAACCTGATTAGCATTCAACAATGCGATGATGATGGAAAACTTTTAATGACTACCTCAACACCAAAAAACCCATTCCTATTAAGTGTTCTTTACCAAAATGAAAGTGTGGTATATTACAAGGATGCTGTAAAGCTTATAAATTTAAGCATCTATTCCATTGATAATATTATGCCTTTAGTAAATTTAAGCATCTATTCCATTGATAAGATTATTCCTTTAACAGAAAATAAGTTGCTTTTGATTTATTACGATCGAAATGATCCAAAAAATAATGTTACCATGCTTGGACCATTATAGAATTTCAAGGCAACATAAAAACAGAGTAATTAATTAATTAATTATTGATTTGATTATTTTATTTTGTTTATTTATTTAAAGCAATGATATTTATGTGTAACATTGTGTGTCTTTGTAGCAATCTTACGCTATTTGACTGTTACAATTACGATCGTTCAAAATATCGGGTTTCGGATGCATTGGAAAGTTTTCTTGTCGTAGTTTTAAACTCTTATAATCTAACTTGAAACAAATTCTCGTAAGTTATAATAAATAAAATGTAATTCTTGAATTTACTCAAACCACTAATTACTTACAAATTATTAGAAAAGTTAATGGTGTCGACGAACAGATATCAAATGGGACTATCATATCACCGAGGAGTGGATTCACTTTCCACACATATAATACTTTTGTTACTGTTGATGGTCGGCATGCATTTGTTTATAAAATCTTAACAAGAGCGAATTATACTTCTGATGATCCTTTTTATGATCCTGTATATGAAATTTATAAAAAAAGTCGAGTCGGATCAACCATCAGAACGATTTTTACTCTATCAAACGTATGATACTTCGATATCTTCTATAGGGTATCAACTGTCAAGCTGGTCTTTACTCATCTGGATTTCTAAGCAATATTTGCATTTTTTTCTGATATAATGCTTTATTCAGAACCTGATATAATGCTTAATTTAATACAACGTGGCAGACAATTTATAAGATCCGTAAAATTTTCATCATCTGGATCTGTAATCCAAGAAAATCTTTCATACAGCGAATACGCACAGCTCGAAAAATTTTCGTCTGAATCTGAATTGATAGCTCATGAATTTCTCAAATTAAAAACTGATGAATCTCTCAAATATGTAACGCAATACACCCTTCCGTTGCCGCATGGTGGAGAAATTACATTCCAAAATTTAACCATTTTAACTGATAATTATAATTATAGTTCACTCAAAGTGCTCAAAGTGGAAGACTCTAATCTCAACTCATCCAAAATATTATTTAATGAAACATACGTGATGTTACTTGATTATGGTGTTTTTAAGAATAACACCATATGGTTTACATGTGAGAATAATACACGTGATAGTAAACTTATCATGATTGATGTGGAACGGAATTATAATGATTGTGAGTATTAAATTTTCACGTAAATATTGGTATAACGATATTTTTTAATTCCATTATCATTTTATTTCATCAGCTGGCTATGAGAATGTCGCAACCACTTCATCTTATCCAGAATTATAAATTTACCCTTTAATGGTCCGATTAATATCACTTTTCATTTTCCGGTCGTTCAATCATCTGGAAATATTTCGGTTTACCAGTTACTAATCAAAAAACATTATTATTACGCCAAACCTACCCCGTTTCCTCTCGTTACTGTAGAGTGAATACCCACTCTGTACCATCTTATAACTATAAAGGACAGCATAAAATGCAACCCGTTTCAACACTATCTTGTGATATGTTAGATCAGCATTATTTAACGAACCGCTTCGTGGAATTAAGAAAGACATTTGGCGTGTGATGACATCAGATTGTAAGTCACCCATATTCTGTTACAACCCATTTTCTATTTACCGGAATTTGCTTTTATCAACCGTTATCGGCATCTGATAGTTGACAACTCAATTATTAAAATACAACGTGATGTCATAACTGCTGCGGCACCATGGTGCTAAGCGCTATCGCGCTTTATTATCATTAGAAACACTGTGATGCTTTACTATTACTGGTATTTTGCCTGCGATTAGTTGAATTTGGCGCTCCCAAGTGTTTATTGACGTATAATATCGTACACCCCATATTTCTTACTAATTAAAATTCGTAATATCTGTCTTCATTTTCTCAAGCACATCATTATAGTATTTCTGGCATATATAAACGTTTATTTATCTTTATATTATACGCGTATTTGTCGACAACGTTCACTAATGTTAATGCTGTAATATTTTATAGATTCAACGGAGGCTACGTTAAATTTTAAACAAAGCTATGATCAATTTTCAAAAATTGATCAGTCACAATTGTTTGATGATATACTGAAAAGTATTCCTCTGACGGATGATCGATTGAAGATATTCGGAGTTCGACGGAACCCCATAAATTCCAATGAAACACAGATCGTATTTTCAATTATAAAGGCAAATAATCCCTCAAATAACCCAGGTGTAGATGATATTATAAAGGAACTTAATATCTTAATAAAGCATAAAGATATAATTTCATTTTCTGATAAAGAAAACATGAATTCTCTTGACTCTGAATATGGGTTTCAAATCACTCGTATGTAATTTCTGTATTATCTTATAATAATACTTTACTAATTGGTTTACTTACTATTTTTCTTTTCTTTCCTTTTTTTTCTTTTTTTTAAAAATTAAGCAAATTTTTGGTCTAAAAATATGGTCGAATTGAGTATCTTTGGATGTTTTATATCTATAGCAATTGTTATTTTTGCAGTTGCCCACTGTCACTATCCAAAGGCAAGTCTTGCTATCTGTATATGTTTTATTTGATTTTTTTTTATTCCTATAGATTTTAATCTCTTGTTCTCTATTACTTCACAGGGACAAAACTATCTCGTATTTAAAATTGCTTTGATAATTTTAGATTTAATTTTCAGAGTACTTTTCATTAAAGACTATAGTCATGATATTTTATCTTTATTTATTGCCAGGCCTGTATATTCTTATATTCAATATTATTCTAATTGTTTTTCATTACCATATTTATATTCTTATATTTAGTCTTTCATTCTAACAAATAGCATAGTTGCCTTGGTTGTATCAATATTATTCAACACGATTTTAGCTCATTATGTACATAATCACACAGTTACTACAATATTCACATTAATTGCTTCCGTTGATGTTGCAGCTCTATATTTCCTATTTTCAAATTTTGCTGGACTCAACGTTTCAATATGTCCAATATGTCGAAACAAACTATTAAACTCATTTGGATTGGTATTTTTGTGAATTTAATTATTAAAAATTTACCAAACCTTATTATCAAGGTATATACTGTATATTTTAAATGCTTATATAACGATAAAATATATTAAATCTCGTTATTTATTCAATATCCTTTTTTATATAGGGCATTTATGTGACATCGGTGACTCAATATACGATCATACCACAACTCTTACTAATTGCAGATGTATTATTTCTTGTTGTTGATGCAGTTTCATTCTTATATGACGTGTATCATCGTTACATACATTATAGTAGAACGATTCCAGATTAAAATCTTTAAAACCAAAATCCCGAAACTTAATTATCGCATCGTGTGATAATATTTAACTTCCGCTGATGATTAGAAATCAAGATTACTAATTATGAAAGGAATTTAAATATGATATTACCGACACCACATAATGCAATAATTAAGTTTCAGAATTTTGATTTTCAGGATTTTGACTTATAACCTGTTAGAACAAATTGATGTGTAGATAACAATATTCTGGGAAGAATTATTATAGGTCTAGTTAAATTTATTTTGTATAATAGTCTTACTAGTTGTTATAAAGTTTGTATATTAGATTTGTATATTTCGGGTATATTATATTTGTATATTTTAGTAAAAATAAATATGAAAATTTTTGATTCAAATTATTATTACTACACTTTTTAGTGCATTAAATATTAGTAACCTAGATTCTATTTGAATAGTCATAGTTCTTGTTCAGTTATACTAACCTTAGATGTAAACTATTCCAGGTACACCATCAAAAATTTGTGCTACCTCTCTACTCAGGGCTTGCTAATAGGCATTCATCTTTCTAGTTTCTTGGTTTTACATGACTATTAAGACTTATCATAGGTTTACACTAACTAATACTAGCTTGCATACTTCTGTGTAACTTATATATTACATGGACACCCAATAATCCTTTCAGTTATCCGGTACAACCTTGGTTACAGATCCTAAATCCAACCAATCAGTGAGAGACAGTAATCATAATACAGCCCAATTTTTGAATTTTCATCACTGGTGAAATTTGAACCCTGGATGTGCTGCTTGGGTGTGACAACTCCACCACTTCACTAAGTTACCACACCCTATATATAAAAGTTTATTTTATAGCTTATATTGATATTAACAAGAGATTAATATTTTAGATCTCATTGACTAAGTGATTTTCCGAATGTTTTCCATTCCGATTGACTCGAAGATCATAGTACCGCTAAGTTTTTGCACCACTCCTAGGATGGATCAGTCCGGTCCAGTCCGTCCGGTCCTGTCCATTAACGCTTTTTGATCCATCCTCGGTCCCAAAAGCGGTTCCGACCTCTAACTATTCTATTGGCTAGTGGAGAGAATTAAATTATATAATATCGGTAATTGAAATAAGCGATTGTCTAAAATAATTTTTTAATAATTTTAATAAGCTATTTATGAAGACGGTCCGAGTTGGTCTCAGTACCGGGACCGGTTAAAAAGACCGGTCCTTATTTGGTCTTTCCAGGATTGATCCATCCCTAACCACTCCTTAAAACATTAATCATATGGGCGAATCGGTAGAATTGAGACACAAAATTTTAAATTGAACTCCATATTTTTCTATTGGGTGTTTGATAAGTCCCTGGACAGGACCTTTTTATTGATCACATTGATGATCAAAACTACTACATTTTTATTAGTAAAAAGACTCTTTTAAGTGATTAACAAAAAGGTCCTCCAGAGACTTATCAAACACCCGGTATATTTAATGGATCAAATGTACAAAACAATTACTCGATTATACCCTAATAATTTGCGTCAAACCCATCTGTTCCAGCTAAACCTGAATGTCATTTGAACGCCTGAGCCCTACTAGGATATATTGTTTGACGTCAATTGTGTACTGTACATCGTTATTCTTAAATCCTCTATTGCATGATTCGCATATTCGCCCATGGATAACGAACACGTATAACAATAGCAATTAAACTATTTCAGTGTTTGTATTACATGTGTTACATATATATCATAACAATAGCAGCGATCATCATTAACTTCATAACATCCTAGAATTATGGTTGATAAGTTGGTTCTAAAAAAATTAAAGATTATGGAAAATGTGTAAATTGCAAGCGATATAACACATCTAGAGCTTGGTGTCAAACTTGTGACCCTCGGAAGATGACAAGTGGAACTAAGGATATCGATAATTGCCACAAAATATAAAGATGTAATCGAATGGATTCTTTTTAATAAATTAGATAATGTTCAAAAAAATGATGATGGATTTTTGGCAATCTAGTTAGATGGAATATGACACATAAATGAAAATTATATATTTGGATATTATAAATGTACGCAGTCACGCACACCATCGTCTAAAGTGAAGCTTAAAATATTAAATGACTCACCAAACCTATCAAATATCTTGAAAGAAGTAATGTATATATATTTTTTCGGATCATTTTTCTTATTTAATTAATAACGTATACAAATAATTTATAATTTATATTTTATATATTTAATAGGTTTAAAAGTCATGTGCAATTAGAAAGGCAATTAGGACGTAAAAGCTAAAAAGTGTCTATTGATTGACTCAAAACACAACCACAAATGAATATATGTTAGTATTTGGTGGATTTGGTAATAAAAAAATATAGCATATATGAAATTTGTGCTGATTGCAACCGATATATTACATCGCCAGCTTGGCGTCAGACATGCGATCTTCAGAAAACAACACAAGGATGGACGAGTGGTGATAAACTCGATAATTGCATTAAAGAACTCCAACTTAAACTTATATCTTATGAAAGTTTAATCGAATAGATTTCTTTTAATAGGTTAAATGAGCTTCAAAGATTAGCGATAGATTTTTAGCAACTTGGTTAGATGGATACGATATGTAAATCATTACAAAACACAATCACGTACACGATCATATAAAATAGATCTTAAGATATTGACTGGTTCAGAAGTAAATTAAAAACATTTAATTCTTTACTATTATTGCATAATATATATACATGGCTTTAATTTACATGGTTAATAAGTTTATAGATTATGTACAGTTAAAGAATAGTAAAGTATACGGACTAACTCAAACACCGCAACAAATGAATGTATGATAGTATTTGATGAATTTAAGAGATAAAAATTATGAAAATACACAAATTGCAACCAATATAATACTTCTGAAGCTTGGTGACCCTTAGAAGACAATGCAAAGATGTACAAGTGGAAATAATGATATCGATAATTGCATTAAAGAATTTTCAACTTAAGGTTACGAAAATATGAAGATATAATAATAGAATATTATAACTTCTAGAAAATAACTTTGTTGAAGAAGAATTTTTAGATAATAAACCTATTTATAAAACATAGCAACTAATTAGTTAAAAAAGCTTGAATATAATTATGGTTATTAAAAAAAGGTATTTTTATTATTGCATATAATATATTTAAATAATAATACTTATAATTATTATTTAAATATATATTGGGATGGACATAAAAGACGTGTGTTAAATTATATTGTCAAAAATTTATAGCAAAAAATGCAATTTTATAAACAATTTATGACAATATATTCTGATGATAACACATTTAAGATGAATGTATATGTACAACTGAAGAAGAAATTACATATATATAGATAAAAAATCACTATAAAAATAAGAGCTCATTA